TATCTACTGTTCTTTCCTCAATTCCAACATTACCACCTTTAAAAAAATATCTGGTTGATATTTTTTTGGAGTGTTAGTGTGATTCCCTTCTTTCCTTTTGTGTATATATTTTAGTGATTTTTCCAACTTTATGTGAATAGTATCAACTAAATTTCAATAAATGCAATCAGCTCTTATACATTTATGTCCCTCCCCTTTTATATTGTTATTGTCACAGATTATGTATTTGTACATTGTATACCCATTAACTTAGATTTATAGTTACTGTTTTGTGCATTTGTCTTTTAAATCATATAGGAAAAAAGGGGAAGAGCTACAAACCAGAAGTACAGTAATACTGACTTTTGTATTTACCTATTACCAGGGTTCTTTATATCTTCACATGGCTTCAGGTTACTGTTTACTGTCCTTTCATTTTAGCCTAAAAGATTCCCTTTAGTATTTCTTCTAGGGAAGGTTTATTAGTAACAAATTTTCTTGTCCCTTAGCCTTATCTCTTAGCTGCCTACTCTGCCATTATGCTGATGTCCCTCTCCCCCCAAGATTTTGATATATTGCTGTATATCAGCATATATATACATATATATATCAAAATATATATACGTTTATCTACATACTTTTATATGTAGATTCAAAGGAGATTGTAAATAAATGTACAGGGAATTCCCATGTATCCTTCTCTCAGTCTCCCCCAAGTTAAAATGTATGGAGCTATAGTACAATATCAAAACAAAGAAATTAACATTGGTAAGAACCATCCTCTCTATGGATAAAGTGAAAGTTCCTGTGGCCAGGATTCTCACCTGGCCCTGGTTGGCTAGCTCACTGCACAGGTGTGGGCAATACATTGTTATTGACTCTATATAAAGAGCTCTGCCCAGTGCTCTGCACAACACGGTGGCATGGCTGCAAGGCTGCAGGAGAGCAGAGATGAGACTGGAGTGATGGCAGCACCGAGGACAGAGATTGAGATGGCTGTGGGCATGGAGAGGCCCAGAGGCAAAGACTGGCTTGCTGCATACAGACTTGCTCTGAGTGGATGGGATTCTAGTCACTAACCTGCCACCGTGGAAATGAAGTTGGGTATAATCCTTTCACCCCAAGAACATTCTACTGTCATTTTTTTGGTCACATTGAATCCATAGTGAACTTGCCCGGGGCTGAAACCCATTGGCAAGACAGTCTCCCTTCATCCATAATACCCTGGCAACCACTAGTCTGCTCTCCATATCTTTATATGTTTTTATTAATGTTACATAAATGGAATCAGTTAATGAGCTTCCCTTTGGAATTGTTTTTCTTTCACTTAGCATAATTTCCATGAGGTTTATTCAAATTGTGTGTATCAATAGTTTGTTCTTATTAAAAAATTGTTGAGTAGCATTCCACGGTATGGATGTATCACTGTTTAGCCATTTACTCATTAAAGAACATTCGAATAGTTTCCATTTTGGGGACTCTTATCAATAAAGCTGCTATGAACATTCTTGTACAACATCTTGAGCAAAAATAAGTCTTTGTTTCTGTGGGATAAATGCCCAACAATGCAATTACTGTGTTGTACGGTAAGTACATTTTTAGTTTTCAAAGGAACTGCCAAACTATTTTCCAAAGTGGCCATACGATTCCTACCAACAATTAAAGTGTGATCTATATCTAATAAAACTATGCCTGACTCATACCAACAATGAAAGTGTGATCTATATCTAATAAAACTATGCCTGACTCAAGGTCATAGAGGTTTACTTCTAAGCTTTAAGAGTTTTATAGTTTTAACTGATATTTAGGTCTATGATTAATTTTGATTCAGTTTTTATGTGTGTGTGTGTGTGTGTGGGACTACAATAGTTTTGGGGTCCCACAAAAAATTTAAAGTCAGAAGAAAAAAATCATTATATTCTGCTTGGATTGCATTATACCAGTGCAGATGTAAAATAATTAGTTTGATCCTAACTCCAGGAGTTAGTAAGCTCAGACCCCACTTCAGACACCAGTCTCCAGTCCCTTGGGCCACTCATACTTCTAAGTATATAATCCCCACCTTAGGTTCAATAATTCACTGCAACAACTCACAGTACTCAGGAAAACACTTTATTTATGTTTAACAGTTTATTATAAAGGAAACAACTCAGAAACAGCCAAATGAAAGAGATACATAGGTCAAGGTATTGGTGGTGCAGAGCTTCTATGACTTCTCTGCGCACCCCACCCCCAGTTCTTCATGTATTCACCAACCTTCCTCTAATCATGTTTAGTCTTTCTAGTGACCACTCCCATCCTGCAGTTACCAAGGAGCCCTACCCTGATTCATCTCATTAGCATAAACTCAAGTGCAGTGGAAAGGGACTCACTATGAATAGCTAAAGACAATCCTAACACTTCGGAAATTTCTACGATTTTGGAAGTTCTGTGCCATGGACCAGGGGCAAAAATCAAATCATATTTTTTATTATTCCACAGTCCCTTGAAGGCAAAAGTGCCAAGGCACACAAAAGTCAAAATGTGGTCCTGTCAGTTGGGTAGCCTTCCCAGCAGTCCATTTGTGAAATTATGGCAACTTGGAGTAGGGTGATGATAGTGGAGATCCAGTGAAATGGACAGGCTTGGAATACGTTTAGAGGCAGAGTTAGCTGGACTGCCTGATAGATTAGATGTAAGAGGTGAATGTGTGGGGAAAATGGAAGTTCTTATGGTCAGATCCTCACCTGACCCTAAACTACTTGATGGTGTAATTTGGCTTACTGTTTGGCTAATGCTTCCACACCCGTTAACAAGTAGCTTATTATTGACTAAGCCATTATATAAAGAGCTCCGCCCAGTGCTCTGGGTGGAGGCAGAGACAGGTGGGTTAGTGAGCTGCAGACTGCTGGATGCAGACATGATTCTAGTGCTTGACTTACTGCCTGGAGAATAAAGCTGGATATAAACCTTTTTACCCCAAGAACATTCCCTTATCATTTCTTGGTCTCATCAAATCCATAGTGAACTTGCCCAGGGCTGAAACCCTCAGGCAAGACAGAATGAAAGAGAAGAAGTAGATTTCCAGATTTTTGGCTTTAACAACTGGGTGGATGATGGTGCCATCCATTGAGAATTCTGAGAAAAGAGCAGGACTGGGGATAAAATCAATATTCTCTTTGACATGATGAGTTTGAGATGACTATGAGATACGAAACAGAGATTTTAAGTATTCAGTTGGATTTGTGAATCTGAGTTTTGGTGAAGAGGTCTGGGCTGGTCAGAAATTTGAAAGTCATTAGTTTATAGACTTAAAGTTAAGGAGCTGATGAGTTCACCTGGGAGAGTAGAAAAGGCAAGAGAGTAAGGACTGAGCCCTGGGGCACTACAGCATTTAAAGATTGAGCCAAAGAGGAGAAATCAGCAAACAATTTTAAAAGGAGGCCCAGGGAGGGAACTGGAAAATCAGGACAATGAAATAGTGAGGGAAATTCAGGGGGTAAAGTGATTCGAAAGAAAGGAAGCTTGTCAACTGTTTGCAGTCTGCTGAGACATTAATTTAGATCGGCAAGAATAGAGAATTGGCAATTGGCTTTGAAAATAGGATGTCATTAGTATCTAGATAAGTGATCTTGATGAGGGAAGTCAAAGGTGGTTCAGAGCAGGCTATGAAGTGAAGGGGAAGTGAGCAAGTGGCAACAGGCACTGTAAAGAGATCTTGAAAAACCTTCCTGAGAACTTAAACGGTGAAGAGAGCAAAGAAGGCAGTTCTGGAGGCAGTTTTTGAGTCAAGGGAGGCTTGTTTAGATGGGAGGAACTTCAGTATGTTTTTTGGCGTATAGTGGTAAACTAATAAAGAGGGGAAAAGTAATGATGCTGGAGGGGGAGGCGATTGTAGGAGTAAAATTCTTTGTGTGGGAGGGAAAGGAATCCAGGTCACTGACCTTCACAGGCACACGGGAACTTCATAGTAACCCATGTTACTATGCCTTTAAGAGTAATTTTTATAGTGAAAAGGGAATTCATGTCTGATATTTAAAATTTTTTTCCATGATGTACGAGGCAAAGTTGAACAACTGAAAGTGGGGGATGGGGAGAAGGCATAGAAAGCTTTCAGCAGAGGAAAAGGTGTTCTTTTAAAACACATCTAGTTAAAGTCAATTTGGATTAAGTCTTCCCAGGATAAAGTAAGTCTCTCAGCCTCCTTTTCTCTCACTGGACCTTTAGCTCTTTTCTGGTACTCACCACCATTTGTATCTTTATTGGTTCACTTAACTGTTCCCACATTAGAGAACTACAGAAGGGCAGAGACTTTGTTTTATTTAATTTCCCAATGCATGTATAGTTCTGAGAAACAGGGCAGGTACATAGTCACTAAGAAGTTACTGGTTGAAACAAAAAAGTTAATGAATGAACCTCTTCAGAATTCTGTCTTAGGCCACCCCTGTTTGTTAAGTACTTGTTTGGGCAAGGAACTTTTCCTGAGTTTTCATTTTTGAATATACACCATGGGAACTGTAATCTCTTCCCTGCCCACCTCACCGCGTTTTCACGAGGAGGACCCGAGCTAATAAACCTAAAAATGCTTCCTCCTTAAGTGATCCTTAACTGGAATGGGTTGTTATTTTTAGCGCACGCTTAGCCTGTAGGTAGCAGGTGCTGAAAAGGACTCGCTGATTTGGGGAGGAGGCTTTGTCCTTTCCGGTGGCTGTCGGCATCGAAGCTTTGTAGAATGGTTCCGCAGGCCGCCGAGGGGCGGGGCTCAGGCCAGCAGCCCTTTTGCTCTGGCCTTTCCCTGGAGGCGCTCGCCCGGCCAGGGTGGGAGGCGGGGAGGCCGAGCGGGGAGTAACTGTCAAACCTCCCCTCTTGGCGCCATTATTTAAATCGTACGTGCCCGTCTCGGCGCTGTACGTGCCCGGGGCGGGGCTCCGAGCGCTCCGAGCGGGGCGGAGGCCGGGGGCGGGCTAGGGAGGTGGACTGGCGAGAGGGGACTGGCTCGGGCGGGGCCAGGCTGGCTAGAGAGGCGGGCTTAGAGGCGGCCCCCGGCGAGGTTCACTGCGCTTGCGCTGACAGACGCAAGATGGCGGACAGTGCGGAACTAAAGGTAAAGCGCAGCTCGAATTCACTTCTAATATTCGGCCGCGCAGACGGCGCCGCTGGTGCTAGTGGGGATGGGTCCGACCCTGGGGGGCCGCTCCGGCCTGACTCCACCCGGGCCTGGAGTTGGAGGCAGGAGTGGCGCGCCCGGCCCTAGCTAAGGGGGCCTGGCAGCAGCGGGCCGCGGGCCCCGGGTGCCTCGGGGGCGCTGACGGGTCGTCCCCGGCGTGTTATTGTTGTGGGCGCCTCTGGCGGGGGTGGCGGGGGAAGAGATCGCAAGTCGGGAGGTGGGGGCTGCAGCTGTCCCCGGGGCTCGATCCTCACCCCCCAGTCAGCTTCCCCGCCCCCCATGGGGTGCGGGGGCTGGGGTAGGGTGTTCATGTGGGGGGACTGGGAAAGCTCCCCGCCGTCGTTTCCTCTTCCTCCTTTGCAGTCCCGGGCTCCTGTCAGGCGCTCTTCTTAGCGCCTTGGGAACTTGGCTCCGGCCGCTCCGCCCCTCCGTGGCTTCTTGCCGCCCCCACCCCGGACTCGGCTCTACCCTGCAGCCCGCCTGTCAGGAGGTGTCCAGAGTGCCCCGCTTGTAGGCAGCGCGATCCTGGGGCCATGGGATGGGGATGTGGGGAGAAGCGTTGGTAAAGTTTAGTGAGCCCCTGGCCAGCTTTGGGGTTCGCCTAGGGGGGAGCGGGGGAGTGTGTCTGGGCGGGACTTTACTCTTGCTCTCCGATTCTAGGCAACCGTAGCGGGGAGAAACCCCCTTTAAGGGTGTGTATTTGGAAGCAGTGGTGGATGGTGGGAAGCAGCTACGTCTTCCTTCTTTTCCTTCTGTTCCTTTGGCTGGTGTGGAGGGTGAGCGGGGCCTTCGGGGGTCTCTGCACGCACCATGATGGCGATGCGATAGCGGATGGAGGTGAATGGTTCGTGTTTATATCCCCCCGTTGCCTTTTGTTTGTAGGGACATCTTGTTGGCCATGTTGATTTGAACGAAATTCTCCCCTCATCCTACTTCAACCCCCAATAAATAGAACGTTCCCCCGTTCCTCTCAACTGTACCAATTACTCACGCCTCGCGAAATGGGATGAAAGGGTGCCTCCTTTCCCCCGCTTTTTCTCCCACCCCAATCATTACCTGATGATGGCTTCTTTACCGAAGCAGATAAACCACTACACAAGCAGTCGGGGGAGGGGGTGGAACCCTTATGATTGGATTGTGACAAATGGGGCTCCGCTTGAATAATTCTGGTTTAGTAGCAAGCAGTTTTTAACTAACGCATATTATTTCGAGGCTCTGAAAGAGATATTCCCTTTTCTGTGGCTTCCTGTGTGTGAACCAAGCAGCTGGTTATACCTTGAACCAGAGAACTGACATCGCTGTCAGATTGGTATATACAGCTGTAAATCTTTGGGAAGAGTCCCTTTTTTATAATTAATAAAGATTATTAAAATTTTTTTATCCGTTATAATGACAACTTCTAAAACAACCAAACCCCAGGCTGGTTTCTGGAGTTTTTCTTTGGAAAGCTAAGCTGAAAGATCGTTTTCCTCAGTAATTTTGCAATGTTAACATTCTAAGATTTGTAAACTGAGAGTGTGGCTTTGAACGTCATTCTTTTTTAATTTACTTCTAATTACAAGTTAATTTAAGGGAGAACAGATTTAGAGTGGTTGGTTTCGTTTTTTCCAGTTTCAAACCAATGACCGAAATGAAAAGCCTTACAAATAGAATATTTGGAGGTAATTAACTCTTGAAATAAAAAGTACACAACTTTGAGATGCATTTTTTTATAGTGTTACTTTTAAAATGTAGTCACTATGTTCTGTGGTCTTTGCCTTCTTATATTTTGTTGCGAATCCTTTTGAATGGCTAGCTAATCAGTTCTGTTATACATGGACCATAGAGTAAAGCTGAAAATTGTCACTCTTGGTGCTGTCCAAAGAAACTGGTATGGAAAGCACATGCTGGGAGATTTCCTTCTTTGTTCTTTCTCATTTTAAGAAAGTGCCTTTGGGGATAGATCAGTTCCCTGGTGTGAGTCTTGTTAGGTAAAGTTTCTCTTTACAAAAATGAGCCTGTATCAGATGAATGCTAAACACTTGGGGGAAACACTACTTTTCTAAAAGTGGTCTCCTTTTTTTCTCCCTCCAAAATCCAGAGGAGCCGTTTTCTGCTTTTATGTTCCTGTTGAACAGTTTTTAAAATTATTATTATAATAACTTTTGACATGCTGGTCTGTTACTGTGTGTGCCCAATACTTTGAGGAACTGTAAATAAATCGCTTAGTTGGTGATAGTTGTGTTAAAAATTTTGTAAATACTTGATTGTTTTGAGATTTGAGCTCTTCTCTTTTTTTTGTTGGAGGGGGACATGATCTTAAGAACATCTATAGTTACTTGAGGAATGTGTATATATAATTTAACGTGCAGTAAGCTTTGGAAGATACTCCTTTTGCAAATTATATTTTCTGATGGTTTTTTGTTTGTGGCTTTTGGAGGTAAATAGCATTTTTTCCTAATAAGGTAAGAAAAGTCAGAGTAAGAAAAAAAATCCAGATTTTTCAAAGATTTAGGTGAAAATAAAGAACTTCCAGTGGATTTCCAACTATAAGGCTTTGAGTAGATAGATACGTGACTTTTTTGTTATCTTAATTCACAGCCCACATTTCATTTTGCTGTGGATTGTATTCATAATTATTTTCCTCATGGCCCATTTTAGTGAGTCCTTTTAAATCTGTAACAAATCTGCACAAATGGGAAAGATGGATAGATTTGTACCCCCTGTATAAATGGTGTAGGCTGCAATGATATTGCCAATAAAAATTATATTGTGAATATGTATATCAAAGAGTTCTCTGTGCACATTTGTTTATGAAAAGTTAAATTTTTCATTAGGGGACTACCCATAAATGATGTTTGTAGGAATTAGAGAGTGAGCATTTTATTATCTTTAGGAATTTAAAAACTGGAGGGTGTGATGGTCAGATGGTCTTGGAAATTAATAATCTGACAGCTTCATGTAGCTCTTAAAGTACTCTTAAAGAAAACTTGGAGTTATAGTGCCATTTTAACTCACAGGAGGAACAGAGGGGCCAGAAAGAAATTCATTATCATTTTAGTGGAGTAGATAATGGTATTCAATGGGAAGAGAAACCATACTTTTAAAAGTATAAACATACCAGTAAATTCTGCCTCTTTATTTTCAAGAAATTTTGATCTTTGTGGTGCAGTTTGTCTGTTGTTTCAAGTAAATCTGACACTTTACTCGTGGATTTAATTTGAATCTCCATGCTTAGCTTTTGTCAACTACCACATTTAGATGGCTTTGTTTGAAGTTACCATTTTGAACAATTAAAAAATTTATGAAACATCGTTTTTTTAGTATTTCATGTAATTGTTTTGAAATACTGCCTTTTCCTCTGCCATTTTCTCCTGGGTGATTGTATTGTCTTTATCTTCAAAGAGTCTCTTGTAACCCTTTTTGACTGCAGTAGTGCTTAGTGGTGAGTCCATAGCTGATTAACCTTGGGCTTCTGGTGAACTCCATCAGCATGCTGCTCCAGGGTTCTTGCTGAGGCTTTTGAGTTCAGTGTAATTTGTACCCTTTGTTGCTGGTAACTAGGGATGAGAAAATAAAGTGGCTCTTGATTGTAGTGGGAAATGCAAAGAAATATCTAAGTTTCAGAAAAACTGGCTGTTTATGTTTAGATGTAATCTTTAAAAACAAACAAACCCTAGTTCATTACTTCATAGACTTGATTGGAATTTTTTTTTTGAAGTGTTTTGCTTTGGCATTTAGCACCTTGTCTGTTTTCAAATATTTGAATAATATTTTATATACATAGTACTTTGCAGGTCACAATGTATCACATTATTCATTTGATCTTTCCAACAGTTCTTTTAATTAGAAAGGCAGGTAATAATCCCCCTTTTATTGATAAAGTGAGCCCAGAACGTAAGTGACTAGCCCAAGGTCATAGTGTACAAATAAAAGTGTTAGAAACGAACCTAGGTCTTGTGATTACAAAACCCTGTGCTGCTGTAGGCTGTCTTAAAGGTGCTGTATCAGTCCTAGAGTCCTCTAGGGTGCCTCGCTCATAAAGAATTCTAGTTATGTTGTTCTTAATACTTCCCCTCTTGCTCTATGCCAGGGTATTTTTGGATATTCTTTGGGCTTTTTGCAAGGAAGATTTTGGAATTTGTCAGTTGGAAGCATAGATGTTAATTCTTCCAAATACCATTTTGCTTGGGAAAATTTCAGAGAATAGTGAAAAAAATAAGCAGAAAAATAAACAGCACCTGTAATCCCAGTACTTAGGAATGTCATGGTTAAGTAGCTATCCATTTAGACCTTCTCTCTGTGAGCATATGTGTATGTATATTCATCACAGAAAGAGATCACACTATTCTTTATTATAATTTCCTATTTTCATGTCTGTTTCTCCAGGTTGGTAAATATAGGTCTATATGATCATTTGAAAGGTAACATTGTATTTTATTCAGCTAGTCCCTTATCACTGGACAATTTGATAATTTATACTTTTTTGCTATTTTAAACAATGTCTTGACCTATAGCCTTGACAAAAGTTTGCACATGTTTTATTCTGACTAAATATATTGATATGACAGACCCTTTGTGTGCATGTGTGCATGTGCTTTAGGGAGCAATGCAAATGGTATTTTGATTAGATGAAGTGTTGTAAGTAAAATAAGTAATTTTTGATTTGTTTATTGTCTATACCTTTTTTGTTTCTGTTTCTGTAAACCTGCCAGATAAGATTTTTAAATGATGGCTGCGATAGTTTTTATAAGATGTAAGTAAACATTTTCTTTTGAATCAGAACATTTGGTAAAGTATGAAATAGATTATGAAACAGCATGTGTAACTTTTTTCAGGCATGTTTGATTTTGGAAATTAAATTACAGTAATCAAATGTTGCAGCTTATGTGCCTTGCTTAGATGCTTATTTGTTTTTGACTGGCATTTTAAAAAAGAAATGCTGAATGTTAATGTAG